GTATTTTCTGCTGTCAGAAAATAAAAATTCTGCCTTCCAACATGTTTCCATTTTTGCTTTCTCTGACAAATAGGGTTACCCAGTTTTATTACCTCATTACTTCTTTGCATTCTGACCAATTCAGGTACCTGAAAATAGCAACTCTTTCTGCTTTCTTTCTTTAAATGGAGTCAGTTCTTGTGTTATTCTTCGATGCTGTAATTTTTACTTTGTAATCCAAGAGCTGCCTCAAATCATCTCAGCAGTCAGCTAGTATAAATCTTACATGAATGTATATTGGTGACCAGTGTCCTGACGTGGAAGGTATGGAAGAAAGAGCAGAACACCAAGCTTCTGGCTGAGAGGGATTCCACTGAACCTCTCCGGGAATTCCTGGGGCACCTGTCATGACAGGGGTCTGACAGAAAGGCCAAAGCAGGAAGCAGAAGGCCAACCACATTCTGATTTTGTTGCCACCATACTGAGTCATCACTGCCAAGTCATATCCTTTTCCTCCACAACCCACAGGCTTCCTTTCCCCTAATTTTAAATGCCGATCTCAGAGCTACGATGTTCACATTAATAACTAGTAATAACAATAAGTGATATCTTTTATTGTGGGAACACCCTGCGCCAGGCACTGTGCTGAGAACTTTATGTGCAATTCCCTGTTTAAAGCTCTTCCACTCTGAACCTATTGTTTTTACCACTCTGCAGATAATGAAATGCCAGAGAAGTTAAGCATGTGCAAAGCCACCCTTTAGTAAGTAGCACAGCGGGAATTCAAATTCAAGTGTGTCAGCTGCCACCACCCAAGCTCTTAGCAATCTCCTTACATGTGGGCAAGGACTAGAGGCAATAATAAGGAATGGAATCCCCTGGGAAATGGCAGGAGTGCTGATGGTGACGCCGGGGATGCCGGGAAAGAGAAGCCACAGAGTCACAGCTTTGCTTCTACACACCTCGGTGTCCTTTTCAGAGTCCTGGAAGTGACTGGCCGCTCTGTGGCCAGGTTCATTTGCTGGGACAACATCCAAGGGAAGCCCACTGTGGTGTCACATACCTACACCCTCCTCGTCCTCCAGTTCTGATGCTTGGCCCCTTAAGAAATTTACCTGGCATCTCCCTATGCATGGGCCCACCTCTGGGCATTTCAGTCCATTGGATATCATTGGCATAGTAATGGGGCATCTCTATGGTTTCTTAGGGGCTTACAAAAAAGTTTGAGGCCTAAAAGTGTTTTTATTAGCTCCACCATACAGAGAAGAAAACTGCAATATTTTAATCAGTAAATATTTAATTAAATATAAAGCACAACATTATGTCAACTTCATTAACTGTTGAATGCAGTAGTCATAAAAATTTCATTACATTTGATAACAATTTCTATGTTGGAGTTTTCTCACTATGCTAGATTTCCCAGGTAGGCACCAAGATTGGTGAGAAATCATAGCTAATCGTAAATTAAATAAATCACTCATGGCCAAAAATTTTCAAAGGCAAAATGGAAAAAAATTTTTTTTCAATTTTCTTTTATAGCCAAAAAGTTATATTTATGGGGACAGATGGGTGACTATGTTAGATGGGGAATAGGGCCTACAAGTATAAGGTGGCTTAGGGTCCATGAAGATCTTAAAAGAGCACAGGCCATGCACCCCTTTCTGAGTCCTGCCTCCTGGCTATTTATGTCTGTGATGATGGCCAGGTGAACAGAGGCTTTAGCTGGAGAGCAGGTTGGGAGAGTTGCCTCATTCTGAGACTCTCCTGGTTCCAATTAGAAAAGGAAGAATCCCAGAATCCTACATAATGCTAACATTCGCTGGGCATGTAGCATATGCCATACTAACTATCCCAAGCATTGTACAGGGATCAATCTCAGTTGTCACAAAACAACTCTATCCTTATTTCACAGAGAAGCAAACAGAGGTATGAAGAGGTTAAACAACCTTCCTAGGGTCATAGGGGTAGTAATGGGTGACTTAAGAACTTGTCCAAACAAATTGAACCCACTGTTCAAGGTGTTGAAGACAGAATAGTGAAGAAGACAGCCTGGTCCCTGTCTTATTTTAGAGCCTGAAATGAAGCATTCGAGATCATGGACACCATTTCACGTGCTGGACACATACATACATATATGCTGGAGGAACGTAACTGCATGTTGAGCTGAGATTGGTTGGAATAAGCTCAGTTTTCCCCATCCCTGCTGTGTACCAGGCACTTATGGAATGCTCTGCCCCCTTCACTAGCCTGTAATCTGTAAGCTAGAGGTTTTACTCATCTTCTAGCCCTGCGCCTTGCACAGTCTTGGCATATGGTAGCTGCTCAGAAATGAACAAAACCTATAAAGGTTTGATTAATGGTCTGAGTCTATTCTTCCATCACAGGGTGATTTCCCCAGGACATCTCAAGTTCTCCCTCCCTACACACAGCACAAAAGCTGTTATTCAGAAACTCCAGGGGCACACATTGCAATGTTATCAACAAGGAAACTAACAGAGAGCATTTTGATGTGTCTTTTATGTGCCAAGTGTCCTTCTAAGGACTGTCCATGTGTTAAGTAATTACTTAGTAATAAAACATATACAGCAATGCTAAGAAGCAGTCATTCTTTATTATCATCCCATTTTAAGGATGAGGAGACCAGGTGTTCGGAGCCAAATGGTGCCCTTCCAAATTTGCATGTTGACGTCCTATCTCTTAGTACCTCAGAATATGACTATATTTAGAGACAGGAGCTTTAAAGTGCAGTAAAGGCTCATTAGGGCGGGTCCTAACCCAGTATGACTGGTGTCCTTATAAGTGGAGGAGGTTAGGACACAGACATGCACAGAAGGCAGACCATATGAGACATAGGGGAGAGATAGCTATGTATAAGCCAAGAGAGGCCGTCGAAGGAATCAATCCTCCCGACACCTCATCCTGGATTTCTAGCCTCCAGAACTGTGAAAAAATTAATTTCTGTTGTGTAAGCCACTCAGCTGGGCACTTTGTTATGGCAGCTCTAGCAAACTAATACACCAAGGCCCAGGTAACGTGTGAAAGCTCACATTGCCAGAACACATGAACTCAGAATTTGAACCCAGGTAGTCTGGTTCCAGAGTCTATGTGTTTTGACATAATGAAACTATTTTCTGTGCTGTCTGCAATGACAGCCACAAGTCACATGTGGCCCTTGAAATGTGGCTAATGTAACTAACTAACTAACTGACATTTTAATCTAATTTCCATTAAAATGTGGCTAGCAGCTACACTATTGGATGTAGTTCTATACTGTTTCTAAGTACTTCAGTTTCTTGCAGAATCTTCTAGAAACTTCAGGTGTGTGCTCCAGGAGACATGTGCCTATTTTTGTTCCCTAGCCCTACTGCAATCTTTTCTAATTTACCCCTGTTGCCTTGTCTCCTCCTGAAGGGGAGAGAGGACAGGCGAAGGAGGGAGTGAGCTGGCTAACTTTCCAGAATCCCACGGCCTGGACAGTGCAGGGCCGTTGGCGTTCTGCTCTAAGCATAGGTGTTAGCCAGCCAAATGCCAAGCAGCACAAACACTGAGTGACATTTTCAGAACTATTAATATTTCATCAGAATGATCACTTTCCCTTTAAATACAGTATCTTAAAAGGTTTTCTCCTTTCTTAACTATCATTTTATTCACTCTTGGTCCTCAGAATTTTCCCCGAAGGAACACATCTTCAATTTTATAATGAAAATCAAAGGGGAATGAAGCTCGGATTTCAAAATTTAGAGTCAACATTTCCAGGAACTCAGGCACTCTGTAAAGAGCAAGGTTGTGTATTGGGCACCTACAGTATGCCCAGCAGTTTACCTACAGTATATCATTAATTCATGTAACACAGATTGATTGAGAGCCTACTATGTGCCAGAAATGTGATCTTGATAATAATTAACATCATTTACAGAAAAGGATTCCTTCTCTTCCTTGTGTTTCATATCAAATGGTACCTTGCCTCCAAAAAGAGGCCTGCCTGGATGCCACCTATGGCTGCCTCTACTCCCCTCCCCATCTCTTCCTTTCTTTGGTTAGTTTCTATCTTATTTCATCTGTAATTATTGCTCATTTACTGGCCTTGCTAGCTTGTGATCTATCACCCTCCACTAGAATACAGGTTCCAGGAGTGCAGGGACCAAGCCAGTTTAGTTCACCTTCATGCTTCCTCCGTGCCTGGGAAGTCACCTGGTACAGAGCAGGGCTCAATCAATATTTGGGGAATGAATGAATGAACGAGGGTCAGAGGAGTCAAGAAAGTTTTAGGGTCACCTAGCTAAGAAGTGGCAGCATCAGGGTTCAACTCCAATCTCTGTATTTGCTACGTTCTTCTTTCCCATTCCCTCCATGTTCCTTGTCAGGGAGACACTGGAGAAAAACCCCTGACTCCTGGGGTGGGAAAGGGCCTGGCAGGCGTGGATGCAGTGTCAGCTTCGAGTTTAATGGAGCAGCTCCAGAGAGGGTTGGAGCCCACTGGGCAGCAAACAGCTAATGTCCCCCCTCTCTCCACCTCAGTCCCCGACCTCCACTCCTGCCCACCGGCCAGCCCGGTACCCCGGTCTCGCGGAACCTGGTGCAGGACAGAGGTGTAGCCCAGTGGCTGAGAGCGAGGGGTCTGGCTGGGTGCCTAGGTGTGAATCCCAGCCCCCTTCCTAGTGAGCCTTGGACACACTCTATAACTGAGACTCGGTTTCCTCAAATATAGAACGTTAATAATCAGTGGTACTGACTTCCTGAGTTTGTTAGGATAGAGCATGATACCTAAAGCCCAGGGCTTTGCACAGGGTAAAAGCCCAATAAAATGTCAGGCAGGACCCTGGCAGGCGCTGAGGTTTCTGCAGAGTAGCAAAGGCGCGGTGCCCTTGATTTCTAACCAGGCAGAGGGCTCTGGGGTTCGCCGGAGAGGGGCCCCACGGCCCCACCCCCACCCCGCGGGAGGACCTAGGGCACCGAACCCCCCCGCGCACCGAGCCGTTGCGTTTGAAACCCACTGCGGAGTTTCAGCTCTGGACGGGAAGGTGTAGGCGCCACCGGCCCCGGCCCGCCAAGGCAGCGCCTTATGAAAGCGGTGGGACCCGCGCTGAGGCCGACTGCAGCCCCACGCAGAAGCGCGGCAGGTGTCTGCTGGGGGGCGCTGGGGCGCCGCCGGCGGGCAGCGGGCGGCTGACGCACTCGGGCGTTTGGCTGCGGGCGGCAGAGGGGCGCTGTAGAGGGGCAGCAGCCGGGAGCAGGGCGAGCGAGGCGGGGCTCAGCGGGCCGGGGCCGGCGCTGGGGCCTGGCCCTGGCCGTTGGCCCTCGGCGGGCGTGGGGTCCCTGGGAAGGCCCGGGAGAGAACGTCACGGCGGGCTCCTGCCCCCGCCGGGCCTAGCACGGTGCCCGGTCCCCATCCCGGCCATCCGCGAGGCCTAGAGGGCAGGCGTGGACTGAGCCCCAGCCGCAGCAAGGTGTCACGACCGGGCTGTCGCAACGGGGAAGTGCCGGGGACTGCAAGGAGAGCCGGCCCTCCGCCTCCAGCTGTTCCCAGATGTCATTCGGCCTGCCTAGGCGCCTGGTTCCTGAGCTCAGGGGGATTCCACGGTTACTAAGCTACTGGTTTTTGTTGACTTTTAAATATTTTCTTCTAAGGGAGAGGGGGAGGGCAAAAGTCAGGAAAGAGAAAGTTTAAAAAAATCAAAATAAGTCGCCCCTTCCCAAAAGAAAACTGTCTTCCATCCCCCTCTCACATACAGATGGAAGGCCTCTGAATATAGCCACCTTGCTGGAGCAACAGCCAGACAGAACCAGCCTGCTTCTGCCCATCCTCGTCTCCCTTTCTGGTGAATGAGGGGTGGCGGTGGATGGTCGGTCCCCCTGTCTTCGAGCCCCGAGTGGACAAAGGGAGTTTCGGAAAGAGAGGAGGAAAATGGCCAGTGGGAGTGGATTCCCTTCGTCCTTGGCCCTTGTGGCCAAGCACCCCTCCGCCCTGGGCCCATTCCCCAGATACATCTGGATCCACCAGGACACACCCCAAGACAGCCTAGACAAGACTTGCCATGAAATCTGGAAGAGGGTTCAGGGCCTGCCTGAGGCCCTGCAGCCCAGGCCCCCCAAGGAACAGCTCTCTGCCACCATGGCTGGAACCCCAAGAGACAAAGGGAACAGCTTCCAAGAAGAGTGAGTGTCCCCCTTTTGGGATGGCCCAAGGGGTGAGGGAGGAGACCAGGTCTGACCTACCGGGGGCATGTTTCTGGCCCTTTGTTCATTCTGTTAAGCCCTAAAGGCTGCATACTTTTCCTCCACCTCCCGGGGTCCTTTGTCCATTCTTTCCAGGGGAGTTAACTGGGGTCCTGAAGTTACCTGGGGCAAAGGGCCAGATCAGAGCTGCATTTCTGCTGCCTCTTTCCCAGCCCTCTAAGGGGACCTTTCTCATCCTAAAGGCATAGGTAACCCAGATGTTACCTAGATCTAAGGACCTTGAAAAACCACCATAGCCAGGGATGAGGGTTAGGTGCCCATGGCCTTGCCCTGAGGCAACTAGAAGATCCTTCCCCTTTCCCACACCCACAGACTAGACACTGGCACAGATGAGTCTGGTGGTTTTAAACCACATCTGGAATTCCCTAATACAGGGAGCAGCTGTCCCATTCAGCCTCCAGAGAAAGCTGCTGCAAGAGCACACATCAAAATATTTACTGGGAAGGCATTGACATATTCAGAGGACATAATAGAAAATTAAAGTGCGGGAAGATGGCTGTAAATAGCCCTTTTCCTGGATGGGAAATCCTGTGTCTGGGAAACACAGAGCTAAATGTTTCTCCACCAAGGCAGTGTTGGGCAGATATGGGGATGGGTATTCACAGGGAAAGGAAGGAGGGACCTCGTTAGGAAAAGCAAGTGAATCTGCCATGGTTATTAATGCCACCATTGAGCATTTGTTCAATGCTTTGCATCTTCAAACTGGGCTTCAAACATTAATTAATCTTCCCAGAGTCTCTATGAGGCAGGTATTAGTGTCCCCATTTTACAGATGGATTAAGTGTTAATAATTAAGTGCTAATTAAAGACTAAGTGATAATTAAGTGTTGCCTGTTCCAACACATGCTCCAGTTCAGTTCAGAGATGCTCTAGGGTTGGGGAACCATTCAGGCAATTATCAGCTGGGTCTGGTTTCAGAGATTTCTGTGCAAGAGCTAAGAAGAAAGTCAAAGTGTAACTGCTACCCAGGTCTGCACTCCCTGCTGCCCCTTTTTGGGCTGCAGATGAAGGTGGGAGGCACTTTGGCTGTTACAGCTTCCCCTGCCCTGTGCTCTGCACAACATGGTTGGGATGGGAATGGCCTGTCTACTGCCCAAATCCTGCTGTCCAGACCTCCAGTGGCACGGAGCCCCTCTCCCCTGCCTGTTGCCATCTGTTCTGGGACAGGCTCTTGGCAACAGGCCTGTGGGCTATACTCAGCTCTCAACGGCCAGCCAGCTGATTGTCCACTTTATGGACCAAGGGTCAGTGGCAATTTCCAGTAGATGGCACCCTCTCTGCCAGGTCACACTGAATTAATGGAGACAGGCTCTACTTCCAGTCTGCACTTGGCTGAAAAGTGAACTGGCGCACCTTTGGCCAGTGACTAAACTCCATTTGGCCTTAATTTGCTCATCTGCAAATTGAGGATGATGTGCCCTGCCTTGTCCACCTCAGAGTTGATAATGAGGATCAGACGTGATGGGAGAGAGGAAACCAAAAGCTGCCTTATGCAAATGAGGCTGTCCTTAAATGGAACTCTCAGGGTCTGGGGTTTAGTTGTTGGTTTTCACACTACGCTCATAGACCTTCAGGTGTTTCAGGGGCCACCCTGGAGTCAAATGGCCTGGTTGCTGGGCCCCAATCCCACTTCAGCCAGAGCTGTTCAGACACAGCTTTTATGGGTTTTGCTTAAATGGAGCTCTGAGGAAAGGTTACTGTTTGAAGAGAGGGTTCTGCTACTGAGTAACGAGCTGGAAAACCACTGCCCTAGATGAATAAATGAGATCATCACTGTGTAGGTGTCAGCCTGGTAGATCCACAATTCTGGAAAAAAAAAAAGGCCTCTGTGTTGGTGGAGTCAGACAACTGGTCTCAGGTCCCATTTCAGCCCTGGGCCAGCTGCTTCAGGATTTGTTTCATTTATGTGAGCTTTAGTTTCCTCATCTGCCAAATGGGGGTGATTACTGTGCATTTTGTAGTGTTGCTGGGATAATTAAATGGGATATTTAAATATTCCTGGTAATAACTACAATGTGTAAAAATCCCTTGTTGCAATAATGATGATGATGATGGTGATAATTTCTTTAGGCCCTACAATTATCACATGAGGTAGGTAACATTTTAAACACCCCACTCTTTTATGCAAATATTCACATGCATAAAATAAAGTAGCATAGTAAATGTCTGAGTGACTATTAGTGAGTTTTATTAAGTATCAAATTTGCGCCATTCTTGTTTCAGTTCCTTCATCCCCTGTTTTTAAATGAAATCCTTTTTACTAATGAGGTGACAGATTGGGAGGGGTTAACTTTGCTGCCCAAGACCTTACAGTTAGGAAGTAGTAGTTTCTGCAGGCAAACCCAGGACCATCTCAGCCACTACTTGAGACTGTGGGCTACCTTCCCCTGGAAATGAGGCCTGTTTTTGGATAGTTAGAATATTTGGCAGTCCCGTGTTCTGAATTGTCACAGATAGATAACAGATTTCAAATCCAGAGAGCTATTTAGCATGTTCTGGGAAAGCTTTGGACCCACCAGTCACTTCTCAGCTAATTTTTCCACTCCTTAATTTGTAGACCTGATTTGGGTGATTTTTCTCCTATTGGGGTGGCTACAGAAGTAAGTTCTAGAACTCTCATTAGCCAGATATTTTCTTGATTCTATTCCTATGTATCATAGAAATCCAGACATGTCAAGATTGAAGGGGATCTTCGAGGCCTTCTCCTGCTGCATGCATCTCTTCCTCAAGGTCCTTACCAAGTGATTATCCACTTGTACTCTTCCTTAGATGGGGAGCTCACCACTTCCTAAGGTAGCTCCCTTCCTTGTTGTGCACCCTGTCAAAAGACCATCTTCGTATGCTGAATCTGTCTCTATCAAACTAATGCCCATTGCTCTGGATTCTGCCATTAGAGCTCTAAACCAATAGCTCTTTCTGTCACTCAGTAGCTCTTTGCATATTTAAAGATGGCAGCAGTATTTCTCCTAGCATTTCTTGTTTCTACAGCTGAATGCCTCTGGTTTTCTAAGTTTCCCCTCACATGCCAACTCGGTCAGTTTCCTGCCCACACTGCTCATCCTTGTGTCCATGCAGCAACCAGAACCAAGTACAGTAATGCAGGTATGGTCTAATCTGTTCAGACTGGATCGTCCCATTTACACTGAGTATCTTCATGCATGCAACAAGTATTTATTGAGCATCTACCATGTGCCTGGCCTGTGCTAAGAGCTAGATAAGGCTTTGCCTTCCTAGAGCTTCTGTTCAAGTAGGGGAGAGAAACTGAAAACAAGTAAATAAAAACCTGATGGCTTCAGAATGTGACAAGAACCAGTTTCAGTTGGAGGAAATCAATAATAAACGCATAAAAACAAACCAGGTAATTTCAGATAGTGATGAATGCTCTGATGGAAGTAAAACCGAGTAAAGTAGTAGTGAGTGTGTCTTTGGATGGGATGGTCAGGGAAGGGCCCTGTGAGGAGAGGTGGTCGTTTGACCTGAGACCTGGACACTATGAAGGAACCAGGGAGATGAAGATGTAGGGAAGGACGTCCAGGCAGCAGAAAGAGCAATTGTAAAGACCCTGAGGTGGCAGTGTGTGTAGAGAAGGACAGTGTGACTGGGGTGCCATGAGGGATGGGACATGAGATGAGGTGATAGCAAAGGCAGGCAGGCAGGATCTTAGAAGTGTTGGAGGATCACTGTACGGAATACAGATTTGATTCTCCATGTTAGGGGACACCCGTGGAGGTTTTTTAGGAAGAGGGTGTAACATGGATGGATTTGCTAGTTTTTAAACATCTTTCCAGCTGCTGTGTAAAGAGAAATCACAGGCACATGAGAGAGGAAGTGGGGACACCCCTGGGAAGGTGCCACAGTAGTCAAGGGGGGCATGAGGTTGGTGGTGGTTGGATCAGAGTGTATGTAGCAGAGATGAAAACAGTGGGGGATTCAGTGTATATTTTGAGAAGAGCCCAAATATGCATGTACCCATGCTCATGGCTTGGGGCACACAAACAGAAACAGCAAAGCTGAACTGAGATTTTTAGCTTAAGCCCCTGGTTGGATAGTGGTGCCATTTTTGAGGTTGGGAAGAAACAGGGAGAAATGGGCTTTTGGGGAGAAATCAATAGCTCTGCCTAGTGTCAATTAAACTGCAGAATTTTGCTCAGTTATCTTTTAATTACTCTTAAATTTGGGCTTAGAGAATTGTGGCAAGCCACTTCCTGACTCATATTCTAGGATTACTTTTGATGCATTCCCCTCATTGCTAAAACTTCTCATCCTCAGGATGAGAATTTGGAGTTTGCCATTGATTCCATTGCCCTGACTGGGAAGCGGCATTTGTTCATTCCTTCATTTATCGATTCATTCAACAAACACATTTGCCTTCTTGGTGCCAGGCCCTGTGCTGGGTCCCAGAGATAAGCAGGACAGAGCCCTTCTCTCAAAAAGTTCCCAGTCTATGTAAGAACTTGTTTGTTATGCTTCAGAAGATTGGAGACTGATGAGAATTAGAGTTGGGGTGGATTAATGATTGTACATTGAGCATTGAGTCCCCTATACAGAATTTTATTGTTGTTAACAACCATTTGATCAATAAATATGAGAGATGCCCTCTCAAAAAAAAAAAAGTTCCCAGTCTAGTGAGTGGAATGGACACACATACCTCTGACCACACAGACATTCAACAAATATTTATTGTTTACCTGCTGCATGCCTGACAAAGTATAAAAACAATACAATGGTGGCAAAGATGGGGCAGTCTTTGACCTCCTTGTGGCCCTTCAGTATCTTAAGAAAGGCAGATCACAGCATATGATAATAATGTTCTGATGAAATATGAATGCCATCGGAGCCCATTGAGGGGTCACATGGCCTGGGCTTGGGGTTCAGGGAAGGCTTCCTGGAGGAGGCTGGAAGAGGCAAGATGGAAGTTC